CACACTCCCATGTAAAAAGTGAGCGGAAAAATCAGATTCTAATCGATTTTTTCTGCTTAATGATCGATTAAAATGGCACGATTTTAATCAATTATTTGATCTTTTGTCGATTTTAATCTAAGATATTGGCATTATAGCTTACATGAGTGAGTGTGAATCGATGTCGTATATAGAAATGTATCAAGGGTAGGGCTAGTACGGCACTTACCATTTGTTGACGTAAGGAGTCACAAAAAAATAATAAAAAATTCAAGTTTTTAAGTGAAAACTGGAGAAAAATGCGTTTTTAAGCCACAGCAATTAAAATCGATTAACAGTCGAATAATTGATTAAAATTTGTTAAAAATTAAGAAATCGGGTTGAAATCTGATGAAAATCGTGCTATTTTAATCGATTATTAAGACCCCCTCAAAAATCGGTCTCAGCCCAGGAACATCCAAATTAGATGAAACTTTCAGAATATGTTGGGCCTGGAAACAGGAGACTACCGTAAAATGTTCAGCCTGAAATCTTCAGGTTTCAGGGAGATATGAACCAAACAATTGGTCAAAAATGACTCATTTGGCATCCCAAATTTTCGGTTCTGGTTCGTTCAATATATTAATATTTTTTTGTTGTTGGAAAGAGCATGTCAAGCTGCAGGGCATGATGGGGCTCTTTTTTTAAAATAGTCCTATTTTAAGCGCAAAAAAGGGATCACAACTTCAATGACTGAAAAAAAGTGTCAAAAAATGGTAACCAAATCATATAACTGGCTGTATATTGACTAAACAAAGGCTTAATTAAAAAAAGGGCCTCATCATGCCCTGCGCCTTGAGACGGTCTTTGAAACAAAAAAAAATATTAATGCATTGAATGAACCATGAAGGAGAAATTTGGGATGCGCTTTTGAGAAAGTGGAAACTGAGAAAAAATGAAAAACATTTTTTGATTTTTTAAAAAACAGCTGGTTTTTCGAATAGGGGTTGACGAAAATCTTGAAAATTTTTTGGGAAAAATGAAGTAACGAGAAAAAAAAATTATCGTGTATGAAAGAGCAGATGACGGGCTATCTCCCCATGTATTTATCTCAATTTCGGAATTTTTGACGAATATTGACTTTTTCTGAGGGGGGTGGGCTTAATTTATTAAAAAAAACGATTAAAATCTGATTTTTCCGGTCATTTCTTTTTACATGGGCTCACATCCACACCCCATAACCACACTATCCATACCCATACCGACACACACCCACAACAACACCCGCACCCACTGAAACTCACACCCATACCAAATTGAACGAGGCTAAGTTGAAAGTTATTTGTCATCATGAAATAAGTTCTCACATGTCAACAAGAGGCTAATTTACGGATTACAGATGATAAGAAGCTTTAAACTATTTTGCTGTATTTATTTCACAAAAATGACTACGCTATTTGATTCTGCCCTTCCATAGAGTTTCTACAGTGCTACAAAAAAACAAAAATTTAAAAAAAAAGTACAGAAACCGAATATTTTAGATCACAACATCAAATCTAAAACAAGGGTTTTCTAAAGAGTGTCAGTGTGAATAGGTGGTGTCAATGTAGGTGCACGTCTGATGGGAAAAGGGCAGTCCAGTAATGGAATGAACGGTAAAAGTGCATCGACAGGCACACGCTGCATGCGATGCATTCACAAATATTAAGCCTTTTAAGGCAGTTTGAAGTCGTGAGTGTCGAACAGTTCATGAGCGAGTTCGACGACCTTCTCTAAAAATCTGTCCATATCCGATAGTTTTGTCCGATGATTTGTAACACACATTCTCAGGGCAAACGTGTCCGTATTAACTACGAAGGGAGAAACCACCGCAACACCTCGTTCTTGTATCATTACTAGTAGACGTTTGTTAAACTTGTTCAGGATGTCCTCTTTGCCAACATCATTGGAATCAGGTAGAGCAATATATCGAAAGCAAACAATATTCAGTGTCACATTAGCTAGCAATTCGAATTCATTTGAATGTTTTTGAATTAGGCTACCAAAATGTTTTGCTTGATCGACATTCTGCTCCATAATTTTACCGATTTTTTCAATGCCATAAGTTTTCAGTGTCATCCATACCTTCAACGCTTTCATATTGCGTGAAAGTTCCAAAGCATAATCACCAAAGAATATTTCACCGTGACTGGGTGCTATACCACCTTCCATCAAAGCTAAATAAGATGGAGGTGGTTGAGCAAAAGCTGATCGGTGTAATTGACCATCACGCACAAGAATACATCCGCATTCATATGGAACAAAAAGCCATTTATGCAAATCGAATGCTAATGAGTCAGCTCGTTCCATACCGGCGAGTGATGATCGAAAACGTGTGGAACAACGAAGAACTGCACCAGTGGCTCCATCCACGTGAAACCAGAGATCATTTGGACGGCTAGTACATAGATCGGCTAAACCTTGTAGATCATCGATGGCACCAGTGCCAATAGTACCTGCTGAGCCGACAATAAAACCTCCGGAATTGGGATCAATACTTTCTTGTAAGGCCTAAAATGTAATGACTGAATAAATTCACACTTTTTTTCTTAGATAGAGCATGCCTGTAAATCTATTTGTCTTTGTTCATTCGTCGGAATGACTCTAAAGTTGTCTTTGGTAATACCAAGAAGATTGGCTGCTCGCATGATACAATTGTGTACCTCTTTTGAGCAGTATATAACCATATTTCTTCCATGAAATTTTTTTCTAGCTACAGCCATGGCAATTATAGTAGCTACTGATGTACCGCTTACGAGAACACCTGAACACGTCTCGTCATTAGGAAATCCCATCAGCACTTTGAGCCAAGATAGGACTTGTCGTTCTAAATAGACGCTAGCCTGATGGCCTCCCCATGACATTGTGTTCATTGTTCCAGTAATAAGCTCTGCTAAAGCTCCAATCGGTGAACCAGTCCCATGAACATATCCCCAATAATGGGGGTGAATGTTACCCAAAACGTATGGAAGAGCAATCGAGCGAACTTCATCGTAAACTTCCGAAGCCGATTGACCTTTCAATGGAAGAGGACTGTTCGCGATGTTTTGCTTGACTGATGCAGGCATCGGTCGCCAAGCTGGCCGAAGACGAACATCACGTAAATAGTCAATCATGTCATCCATAATTTGATGACCTAAAGATCGTGTTTCGTTCCAATCTAGTGGATCAAGCGAAGTCTCGCCAATCGAATCGATTTCGGTGGAAGATAGATGAGGAAGTTGAACTTTGAATGACCAAACTTTCACACGATTTCGACTGCCAAAATGCACCGGAAACGATACTTCGATATGTTCATCAACAGTCACATTAATACTTGATGCTGATGTTTGCAGTAAATCGGTCAACAATTCATAAAGTTCGCTAGTTGTTTCGCATAGACGATGCGTCAGAATCAAACATTGATTATCATTCAATGAAAGCATCCGTACCAACGTTTGATTCGAATAAAGTTCGATGATCAGAGATTGGTTTGAATCGAATATGACTCGAAGATAATAGCGATCATGAAGCCGGTACATGCTAATATCGAATGATGATGTAGCCATGATACACTATCACACTTGCTATCTTTTACAATTCCGTAGTAACAAACAATGACTATAAGATGTATCAAACAACTCTTAACATAAGATAATATTTGTTATTCTGTGTTTGATTTAGTAAGAGCTGTTCTTTGACTAATCGCACCTAGACATCTAGTCTTATTTGGGGATGTGGGTGGACATGTGAGCATGAATCTTCCCGTCATCTTAACCCTTACCATCCATTCCATTCGCAAATGTTAAATTTTCTTAAGCATCTGGCAATCATGAGTGTTGAGGTAGTGAGTGTTTTTCTGGTGTGCGTATGATTGAAAGGAACCGTCATACTACTACGAACAACCACGTCCACACCCATCTTGAAGCTCACTTAAGCATCAATTGATACCTTTGAGATATTTTGAGATCTTTTTAAAAAGAATACTATGCCAAGTGAATTATTTTCTCTTTCGTCAATACAAACAAGTATGATGTTTGGTCAAATCTCAATCTTTTCACTACACAATCATAACCTTCATTGTTTTCTTTTACTTTTTTCATTAAAACTTTGCCTGATAATACGAAGATTGTATATGGTTCAACAAGAATACAAGGAATGACTTCAGCAAATAAAACGATACTGAAAGATGTTAGTAGACTCTGTGATTGATAAAATCTTGTACTTAAATAATATGAGTACGTGCGAGTTTATTGGCGAACAAATCGACACTAATAATTGAATTATATGAGCGGTTGTAATATATTTTTACAAAACAATAAGTAGAAAATTTATATACAAACAGAAACTCGGCGATAATTCTATTTCATACTGATTCTACGCTCAAAAAAAAATTGTCAAAAAACCCGGTTCATGAAAGACAAGATTATTCAAAAGAAAATTTCGTTGCTTAGCAAATCAAAAATTTGCAACCCCTGATTGAAGTATCATCCACAGATCATGCTAACGTGTAAAATCCGCCAAAAGAGAGTAAAAACAGAAAAAAATAGCACCACTTGTACTGCATCCACTGCTTCTTAGTACGAGAGAAAATAGACGAAAAAATTGTCAAATTTTCTCCTATAAATAAATTTAGAAAGTAGCTCGAGCACTTGCTTCAATACTCACAAGTCATTTTAACAAGATGATTTCATATGCAACAAGAGAATGTCATGCATTATTTAATAAAATCCCTTTTGGCATTTTACATTCGTGTTTACGTGAAAAATAAACTCTTTGCCAACATATTACTCCCCGTGAAAGTGACACTTATTCTTCTGATAATGATTTTGAGACATCGTGCTAAAATACTTCGATTATGAAAATCGGAAATTGTTTTTTTTTGTGTTATGATGAACACTTACAGCCACATGTTTGAAAACATCTGTAAAGGACCAAACGTTTTGACTCTTCTATGAATTTAAGAACGCTCATTTTCATTCGTCAAGTAAAATAAAAAGTATATTGACTGACCGAAACCCAGGCAGACAAACTTTCCAGAAAACGCGTTTAAACGCACACAAATTGGCCTAAAATCCTCAAAAAGTGGACGCTTTTGGCCCACATTCGCGGTTCCCGACTGTGAGCCAAACACATCCATTTTTCGCCCTTTTTGCGCGTTTAAATGCGTTTTCAGACAAGAAACGCGTGTACACGCATACAAAAAAGAGAAAAAAGTTGTCTTGTTTTCCCAACTCCAGAAACATTACTGTAATCATGATCATTCATGTCGAGTATGAGAGCACGGCCACTTTTTCTCTTGTTTGTAAGCGTGTACACACGCTTCGTGTCTGAAAATGCGTTTAAACGCACAAAAAGGGCGAAAAATGGATGTTTTTGGCTCACAGTCGGGAACCACGGGTGTGAGCTGAAAAGGTCCAATTTTTACGGATTTTAGGCCAATTTCTGTGCGTTTAAACTTGTTTTCTGAAAAGTTTGTCTGCTTGGGAATCGATCATGTTATGACAAGATTTTTTAAAATTTTCGCTTTCGTGATCAAGCATATCGATTGCAACCAAAACTTGATCATTTCTTGTATAGTTTTTGGAGCCTGACGATTAACTAACTATCTATTTACTTACCTTTTGTTTTTTTCGTTTATGTGATATTCTGAATTGCTACATATGCATTTTATAATCGTTTATCTTATTTGTTGTCCTTGTTTCTTCTTTTTTTTTTCGTTCTTGTTATTCACCTTGTTCTGGCCTTTTTTGTAAAAAAAAATATAGCGAACTATGATTAACTGATCTATAAAGAGAGAAAAACGAACCTTATCAGTCCATCTTGTATTATTCTGTGATTCTCGTATGAGAAAGTGGCACATGTGCGTTGAGTTTTAATTTAATCATTTGACGAAACAAACTGTTATCAAAGAAGGCTATATCGTGAATGAGATCAATCCTTTAGCATCGAATGACTGAAAAAAGCGCAATACGGCATGGATTATCTGCATCACAAGATGTGGGTGTGGGTGGGTCTTAGTTGAGATATGATAACCCGAAAACCGTACCCACACCCATACTCACACGCACGTCCCCACCCATACAACACCTACATCTTTCGTCCCCCCTTAACTGCACAATCGCACCCGCTCTCGCACTCACACCCGAACTCTCATCCACGCCCAAGCCCAAGTTCAAGCTCACGAGCACCCAGACCCATTCGAATACAAAGCCAAAACCCACTCACATGCAAATCCACGAACAACCACTCACATGCAAATCCACGAACAACCACTCACATTCACACTCATATGCACTCAGAGCCACATCTGCATCCAACATGCTTGCACACCCAGCTACGTGCACACACACAAAGACTTGAAAACGCGAACCGATACTCAGGTTCTCCTCTGTGCTTGAAACATTGGCTAGTAGTTCATAATTTTCTTAAAACGAGATCTTGACAGAAACGATACAAATGCTAGTAACGATATTTCTGGAATAGAGCTTTTCAGATCAATATTGTATTTATTACTGGATGTTCAAAACTTGAAGCCCGTCAGTCACGGTCAAGGCAGTCACTTATTGTGACACCTCCATGGTGAGTCGGTCAGAAATAACGTTCAGCTTAAAGTCACTACCAATCTTCACCCCTACACTTATCAAATGAGTGTCAGTAGGAAGAAGTACAGTTTCTTGTCGAGAACATGTGAAATGTCCGCCTATACTGATAAATCAGTAAACAAGACTTGCGTCGCTAGCCGTATCGTCATTTTTCTGTAGCCGGTTCTGGTACAGTACGTGATCGTCGTAAAGAAAATCTAGACTGAATGTGCTAACTGTATGGACGGTTCGGCAGTTAGATTCAAAGTAGAAATCGTAGAGCATAGGCTGTGTAACATGAGAGAAGACCAAACTGAGACCAGATATTTTGATGAATACTCTTGAGGGAATACTGACTGCAAATACGTTGCCTGCCGAAACTTGTGACTGAGACTTTTTGTAGACAACTTGCGTTAACGATTGATATCGAAGATTCGGTACGACTAAAAGCTTGTCTTATTGTATTGGCAAGCTGGAAATTACGTCGAAGTAAAGTAACAATAGAAACTTAAGCATTTTTGTGTTTGTCAAAACTTGCGCCACTGCAAACTGATTAAAGCGAATGTGTGGTTGTGGGTGTGGGTGTGATCAGGAAAACATCCACACCCACACCTTCATAGAAACGATAGCTCAAGATCTGGTCAATCTAAATACTACCAGAAACGCAAAAATATACAGCAAGAAAAGAGAAACAGAGCGCAGTGACTTTTTTGGAAATGAAAAAAAACGATTGCTTTTTGCATTTCAGTCAAAAGTGATAACTTTGAACAATATTTGTGATCTTTGTCCATATCAAAAAACCTTCACATTGATACCTATCATGCGAAAAAAAATCAGTTGATTAAGTTTGATAAATAGTGGAGTTATTCGAATTTACTTGCACGCAGGACCTTTAGGACACCCTGTAGAACCAATGAAATTACAGATAAAGATGCGAAATATTTCGCTCAAATGATCACAACAAATAAAATATTGACTCTTTTGTGATTGTTCGAGAATGAAATAAATGATGTCGAAGTTTATAACTAGTACCAAATGCCGTTGAGAATTACAATACTAACTGTTGAATCTGTTAAATTGTTACTCGAACAAGTTAGTGACTAATGGAAATGTTGCTTTCTTGTTCAGATAAACAAACAAACAGAGATGTTCATCGCGGCGGTGGCAACTTTATTTGGGAATATCTGCAAAATTGCTTGAATTTATACAAGACTTCGGTGCTCACGTATGTAACAGCTTGAGCCTGAATGAATCTGATAGATTAGTAACGCATGTACTAGGCTAGTTTTCCGATGGAAGTGATTTTTAGAACACTTTTTGAATTATCATTAAGGGGCCAGGAGCCAGCAATTGGTGACTTGTGAATTTCGAAAAGTTGTGGCTGATATCATGAGACATGGCTATCTAAATGCTTCAGTGATAATAGTCTCAACCAAAAGCGAGTTGACATCTGTACAAATCTATTCGCTCGATGATTGATTATAAGTCTGTTTCTCATTTTGTTATTTAAAGTTATTTTATTCTGTGTAATTCAATTTTTGTTTTTCGTCGTAAGTTTTCATTAAAACTGAGTACACAACCGAGGCGAAACTGAACAACGATTGAAACTTGTATCGACCTTGCGGCTTATCGTTTTGTTGTTGATTGTTTAACATTCGATTCTTTCACCTTCTGTTTCTTGTTTTACTCTTCTTCGTTTGATTGTTCAGCCATTCATAAGTCACACGAAAGCATGACGATGCTTTCTTAAATATTTTGCTGTTATTCATCATCTTGTTTCTGTTATAGAATGCAGACAAAATGAGCTGATTTTTCCATGTCAATTTGTTTACATGTCCAACTATGGCTGCGAATGGCTGTGA